CGGCTAGGATCGGAATGTCAGGCCCTCCATATTTTGTGATTTGTATTTTAGATCACTGTAGTAAGAAAACAGTTTGCAGCAGTTTTGTATCTCAGTACTTGAATAACATTAGCAGATCCAAGGGTGGCAACAAGGGGAGACTTTGGGGGGGGAGGTTAAAATCAGAGAAATTTTTTGGCCTATTTATTTCACTTCTTTCTACAAGTATTGATAAAAAGGGCCGACATGTACTGGGGGCCTAGCCCCTCTAAAAGACATACAAGGATATATGAAATATTTCCAGATTTTTCGGCTATCCAGAAACCAATTTTGGCCTAATAAAAATTTATCTTGATCCAACCCTGCATGCACAGAAGGTGATGACGTGTGCTGTTAATGCTGGTATAGTATGCACATGTTTGACACTTTGAACCCATTAGCAATGAAAAGGATGCACTCCTTTTCCAGGAAAAAAATCATATCCTTGAAAGCACTTCCACATGCATTTAGCAATGAATTTTTCATGCATAGGCATCACTCCTGCATACATGTACAAAGGCTTTACTAGTACTTTGAACCTAGGTGAGAGATGAAATATCGAAGTTATACACGTATGTAACCTTAATTCTGACTAAACTATATCAAACCTTGATATAGTGGCCACCTGCGGTACCGGCTGTTTATGGCCACTAGGGTAGGTGGCCACTAGAGCAAGGCTGTACACACGTACATGTACGTGTACATACACACATTTGTACAACTGTAGGTACAATGTAAACCCTCCAGCTGAATAATACATGTACTAATAAATACCACAATGCTAATAAAAATGTATCAGTTGGAAGCAAAAACTTTATTTTGAATGTATTTCTTGCTCTCAAGACACAAGAATGGCAAGAAGAAATCAGCAAGCAATTTTCAACTTTTGTTCATGATGTAGGCTTTACACAAGTTTGACACTTCAAATCTAAATCACTGATAATGAAAACAAGCTCACAAACACTTGACATTTGCAACAAACAATGCAGCAACGTGGCGTGTGGCATGTGAAGTGAACGATACATTAGTCTGTGTGCTCAGTGTCATTTGTATAAAATACGAACGTACAGTCTGGGAACTAAATAACGGGGAGAATTTCAAAGTCAATAATTACAGTATGGTTACAGTATGTTTACGTGAGAATCAAACTGGGACCAGCTAAGGTGGCTAGTTTAGCGAGGCGGCTGCTATAATAAGGTGGCTGCAACGGCAGGTTTGACTGTATTTTGTTGACAGCACAGGAGCACTTTAAAGCAAAAATGACAATATTTTCAGGGCGGATGACAAGCTGCATGTATGCGTAAATGCTTGACACGAAAGTGAGCATTAATGTAGAATTGTGATGTCACATCGAATATTTGTATTACGAATTTGCAAAAACTAAACACCTTTCAACCAAAGTGAATTTCATTGCAATTATTTTGTGACATCACGTTTGTTTCATTTACACATTTTCCGAAAGCATAAACAGGCCTTAATTCGATTAGTTTTGGGAGGGAAGGACTCAATGAGAATTATCTACTTATTGTTGATACGAGAAAGAGGAAAACTATTTATCTGAGACACTGACCTTTTTTTGCCCTTCTCTTTTTCCTGCAAACCATCCACAGACTGATGGAAGTCAAACACTGAAATGATGCACAAACACACAAATCTAACATTTAGAGTTCTAACAGTTTTCATGTTGAAACTGTTTACAAAAGTTACATGTACATAAGTGAACCTCAACAAAATCGGCCAATTACCTACTTCTTTTTATAAATTCATGCCAGTTCGAAAACTGTCTGTAATTTATCTTACCAAGGTGAGCCCTGTCGGATACGAGCAGCCGTTTGGTCCATCCGTTCAAACCTTTTTTCGTCGCCTTCGCCCCCTCTTCAAATAACCCTGGTAAATGTACCACCAATCCATTACCTGGGAACAAACAAAGAAGACATTTAATTAGTGTGCTGGGGCTGTCCACCAAATCTATCAGTCATAGAGGTTTTTTTCCTTCTGAGAAGATTATCAATACTGTACATAACAAACAATTCATGGAGAGCAGTTGATTGCCCAAAGAAGAACCGATGAATATCCCTGCCAAATTGTTCAGGCAGCATCAGGCTTTTTGTCCCAAATCAGCTTGTAACTGGGCAGAAATGTGATTCAGGCTTGCCTCTGTGTGTGTTTGTTGCTGTTAATGTAAAGATTTCAATTATAAAACCCATGCTTGAAGGTTCAACAATGTGAACAGTAGCTCCAGTTCTGACGGGAATGGGAAAGAACTGATTTCCTGAAGTTACATGTACAGTAAGTTTTTGGTCAAACACCACATGATATGATTAAAAATGTTTTCTGTGTTAAAGAGTCAAATCTTCAAGTATTAAAAGACAATCATTACATTAAAATGTGCAAGTATTACTGCATGCAGGCTTGTAACTTTAACTTTTACCAAAAAACAAAGGAAATTCCAATCTTTACAAGACTTTATACAATGACTTTTAATTTTCAACGGCATGAGTGTGAAGTGAAAAAGGCGAAAATCTGATGATCTGAGGGGAAGTCCCTTGCCTCTACATGAATATGTAATACACATTAGGTATTACTCAAACAATGCACAAAATACTGGGAAGACCAGTTCTGGTGTGAGGTTTACGTGACCCCCCTCTCTGGCTGTGCACAAAAGTAATGGATTGCTCTTCAGTCAGTGAGAAAAAGTCTAACTTTTCTGTAAGCCACGTGCATACCTATGACTGACTTGCAGTTTGGGTTGATGATACCACTGGGCAAAAGGTGGAAGTCGTATTCCGTGCCATCCACAACCACTGTATGACCTGCATTGTTCCCTCCCTAAAAAAAAAAGAAAAAAAACAAAGAAATATAAATACATGAACAGGTGTCAATCTGACAGTTTCATCTTGTACCCCTCATACCTGAACGAACTACATGTACTTGTATCCACCATGTTGAAGTACACTCTCACCAGCCAAAGAAAGGCAGGCGGGTGAGAGTTTTCCACCGAGGTTCCTGCATGCATTTGACACACACCTGAAGACCATGTAGATTCCAGCATAAATCTGTTGCATGCACTCAGCATGGCCTGCACCAAATACGCATAAACTTGCATGCCTACGCGGTGAGTTCCTAGATAAGGACTATCAATTTCATTTAAAAACACACCCTCTTTTGTTCCTGCTCGGAGCAGATAGATAATTATGTGACTTCACCAGAGCAACTGAATATCCAATGTAAAATTCAATTATGCTATTCCCCCCAGTATGGTTTCTCTCCTCTGGGCAATATTTTTATATTTGTAAAAAGTCAATACTGACGAATTGAAAAAAGGCAAGTGGTATATCAGTTTTGCATGCATGTACCTATGCACTGGTGAATATCGGTAGTTTTTCTTTTTAATTATCAAGATTATTTTTCACTGAGATAAAAACACAACACACAGACGTCAATAAATAAAGCTGCAGCATGCATAAAATACACTTGTGCGCTTGGTTTCTAGAAGCATGCGTGCATTTATGCACGCAATGATTTTTTTTTCCCGTCTCTTCTTTTACTAATGATTCATGCCATTAAGGCAGCACTATGACGAACCGTGGGGTTTCATCAAAGGTGGCTTTTGAACGGCTGAAAGGGCAGCCAGCTATCCATGTGTGCTTTACCAACTCAGATCCTACACTCATCACCACTAACTGCTCCTGGTCATTAATGCATTCATCAGCGTCTATTTGCCACCGTCCTTGACGACAGCTCAGCAGAATGTAAGCAGCTTTTTATTGCTGCTCAACGTCAGTCAAGTTTAAACCTTCCCTTATTAAAAGTGCTCTAAAGATTGGAAAAGAGCGACAGGGCCATATCCTTGTCAATAACTTACGAAATTCAAGGGAACAGAAGCTGGGAAAGGTTCACGCTGGCATGGTGACATGCACCCATGTTATTTTTCAAGGTCATCACCGGCAAATACTGCATGCAAATATTTTTTCAATAGGATGGGCACAAACCCATAAATCACAAGCAAAGAGCAACTGACCTGAACATGCCAAAACAGAAAAACCCTCTTAGTTTTGTATTTTTCCCTGGACTGATAACTTATACAGGTCGGGAGTTCACAGCACGAACGTTAACATAGCTATGTAGACCAATCCAAATATGACAGCACTACTTGTATGCAGTCGACTCCCGTTATTACGAGGGCAGGCAGACTTTCACAATTCTGTCGTTATAGCCGGAGCGTTGTTAAAACCAGAGCGCAATTTTTAACACTCATTTTGCACAAGTTTATAGCCACGTACATGTCTGTTGTAATCATGTACAGGTACACCGATACCACACGCCAAACACATGAAAAGACGATGTTATGTGTCTCTTATTGATGCTGAATTTTTATAAAATGTTGATGAATAAAATGCTATAAATGAAGTACATTTAAAAGTCAAATATTTGACAACCAGGATCAGAAGAAGCCGAGAAGAATAGCCAAGTGAGAAAAAACATTCAAGTCCGTGCCGGTAAGTACGTCACATGTCCTGAGTGTACGTTTTGCTTTCGTCATGAATTGGCTAAAACCAGTCAAAAGAGGGCGCCACTATTACCAGGATGTCCGGGGGCGCAATGGCATTGATTAAAGCTTACTGTTTTTATTCTTAACTAAATAAATCACTTATTGGCACAACGAATCAGTGTAAAAGTGCCACTGTTTCTACGTGTACTGGTACGTACCTAACCTGGTTTTTGATGCCGTGTAAAAGGAAGCAGAACTTTTTTTGGCCTTGCCATAATAGAAGAGACATTTTGGCGGCTAATTGCTAAAAATAAAGTGTGATCTCTGGATTGGATTAGTCAACATTTCCTTTCAGGCCCAAGGTAGCCCTTCCATATGCCTCAGATAGAACGATGTCACACTTTCAATTGGCCATGGACTTTTAAATGCTTTACAGGACACCCAGCATACACATAGCACTGTTCATGTGCCCGACATTGGTCATTCCATGCTGGAATTAGAATTCATTCCAAAAGTAGAATTGGAATCATGATTCCACTTTTTTGGAAGAATTGATTCTATGTAACGATTAATTTGGCTTCCTTGACATCTGACTTCAGAAAGTGCCAAGCAAATAAAAAAGGGGCCACGTAGTCCTACGTACACGTACATGTATCTCCAATTTATACCAGGCACAAAATGGGACGGCAGGGTACCCCCCCACAAGTCTAATCCCTATACACACTCCAGCCTATTGTCACTTAACACATCCGCCCCAGATTTCTGAAAAGAATTCCTGAGAAACCAGTATAAAACTGACCAACACTAAGACGGAGGGGTTCTTTCTGTCCCATAGTTTACTTCATATCTTTCATTTTCCTTCCACTATGTTTATAGAATAGCACATGCTCATAATATACAAAACAATGTGCCTTGTGGAGACACATACATGTACTGTGCATGTACATGCTTATGTGTTTGATACCTGCTTGAAGCTCTTTCGCTCTACAACCCAATGATAAAACCATGGACAATTCTGAAGGGTTTTTTCCATATGAATTTTCACTTCCAAATGAAATGATCACAGCTACGTAGACGACTCCACTGTATGCTTGTGAATGCCAAAGCAGCAAGCGGCCAACGGCACTGCTTGATAACATTGGGCAAACTGAAGAAACTGCTCAACTTCAATTCAGACAAGACCTTTGTAGCTGGCTCAAACAAATACAAGTGCATTCACTATCAGTAACAGCTTCTTTGTGGCAAACATTGCTTTTAAACATTGTGTCACATTAGCACAAGTACTTTTTATAAGTGCAAGTTTCACGTAATTACACTGTCAACTTGTACACTGGTTGCAAGTACTTTTCAGAAGGAATTTTAACCCTGCAGTACATGGTCTTTCAATTTCCCTACACGGCTCTACTATCTTTGGTAGATTTCTCATTGTGTTTAGCACCTGATGCATGAACATACATGTATATGTATATGCACCTACGTTCAATGCACACTGGCACTTTAAATGGGGCAAGCTGTGCGTGTACATGTAGTTACATGTAGCTGTACATGTAGCCGATCAAAGAATAGAATACAGTATAAGTGTTCAATGACACATCCTGTGGCCTCTCGCAAAACAAGCCTGTAAGCCTATTGACTTGAATATATATCGGTACGTGTACATGTAAATTAAGGGTACTTTTTTCATATTGGAAATGGTACAGCTATCAACACTCATTATTTATGTCCTAAGAGACTCCTCCAACCTTGAACATATTATTAACATTATACACCGAGTTAGGGAAATCATCAAGCAGAGACGGTACTTGGTTGTTTGGTTTTCAAATCTGACTACGCATGTAAGCATATTGGAGAAATTAAGAGAATCTAATGAAAAAACACTGTGCATACATACATGTACATACTGGTACATGTATTATGCATCTGTGTGTTCTTCAGAAATGGCACACATTATGCAGGCATGGTGTCTCTTTTATTTAAGTGAACTTTTAAGTTGTGTCTACACCTTTCATTTATCATTTTCTGCTTAAAAATAAAAACTTCCAAACATTTGAAGGTGTATTACTCTACAATTATTTTTCATGCAATTTACTTCTGACAGGCAAGACACTCTTTAAAATGCAATCAATCTGCAAAGAGTTGCAAAGTCTGCATCAGAGATGCTAAGATTTTTAATTAGTGAGCTTCTATCAAATGGCAAGCTAGACTGGTCTGTTACCCTGACCCAGGCCAAATATGTCGAGGATGGGAATGCCGATAGGCCCATGACTGGGATTCCTGCTCAGATCTGGTGGATAGATCTTGGGGCAGCCATGCCGGGCCTGCGAGCAGCCCCATCTCTACAGATCAGATAAATTCCACAAGGCCAGATGATAGGAAGACGTTTCTGCCCTCAGGAGATGGTTTGGCTCATCTTCCGTCATTTGACTGCCTGTGACTTCCTCACATTTGAACATTGCACTGGGGTGGACTTTGAGGAAGGCGGTGAATAACCGAAAGGTGTTTGCCCAAGGAACACTCTGCCAGCCATTTTGAGAAGTGGGATACCAACTCAATATGGAGTTTGGATAAATTATGGTAGCTATGCTGACAAAGAAAGTTGCACGAATTCAGTTTTTCAATCTTACCACTGTAATTACAATGAACAAACCATTTTTAGAAACACAAACACAGGTAAAAGAATTTTCTTTATTACTATTATCCTTCAAATGCATAGTGCACCCCAATCTTTGTCCTAACATTTGGAGACCTTTGGGGATTTCATTTTCTGTATTCCTGAACGAAAAGGTTACGTCATTTGGGGCAGATTTTCCAGTGATGCAATTGCTTTGGCATCAAAAGTGCATTTGGCTACCATTGTCCTTGGAAGCTTTAGGTGGCTAACTATTGTCAACTTCACTGACCAGTGGTATAAACTTTGTCTTGTATGAATGTGTTGATCTGTTCCTCAATAGTTAGACTACATTGTAAATTAAGAATTTACGAGCGTGAACGTTATGTAATAGACTTTATGCTTGGGTCGGCCATGTTGAAACTGAAGACAAGCTTCCCTCTTCATTTTTGAAACATGAAAGTATGCAATAAAATGAAACTTCATGACAAATACCTGTCCACGCTGATAAATGATTCAAATTTGAGATCAAAAATAAATTTTGAGTTTTAAGCCAGATTTTGAAAATTAATGGGGGGCAGTCATATAAAATAGTCTGGTACTATCATTAGTTTATAATTTATAACAGATGCAGGCTCTGGGAACAAGATCATAAATGGTTTCCTTGTGAATATAAAGATCTATTCTGCTACCCCTGAAGTACAGTATGCAACACAGGAACAGCACTCAAAGAGATTTTAACATGTCCCAAAAGTAGAAGACTGTATCTGAAAATGAACCAGTTGTTTTTATCAGCCAATAAAACTGATGTATCCAGATCATGAAAGTACTATTTATGTGAAGGTTTACCGTGTACATGTAATTAATTAAAAGATTTTAATTTGAAGTGATTAAATGCATGAAAGTGTGGAGTCCTTGCCATGCTTGACTCAAAATATGTAAACAATACAAAAAAGTACAGATCTATGGTTTTTATTTAAAAGGCACAAATCAAATCTGAATAATGCACATTCATGGGGAAAAAAGCAAGAAATGCATAAAAACAAAAACAGAAGTACATGTAAATTAGGACTTTATGCAACGTCACCTACAATGCAACTTGTAATTACAGCCCGGAATGACAAGATGAGGCTATCTTGTAAGATACCCCAGTGAGTAAATAACTAAATATCCTTACAGGTTAAAGAAACTCAACTGAAATATTCATCTACTGCACGTAAAGCAGGATGAAATTTACTAATGATAGGGTTTGCTGTGCCTTCAAGCACAGTAGCCAATTATGTGAAATGCAAAAATGCCTGCCATTCTTACAGAATTTTAAGTTTACCAGTAAATCTTCACGTAAGGCAAAAAAAAAGGTCCTTCATCTCTGGTCAGCACACGCATCGATTTTAGGCATGCGCATCAATCTTTTTTTCAACACCCTCCACTGCCGCACGGCCTGAAGCTTTTTGCGGGCAGCTCAATCTTTTACTCAGGGCAATAGATCCTGATGGGATAGATGTCAAAAAAATGATAACAGACTATGGATACAAAGTTGTTTGTTGTCAGCTTATAATCATAATAAAGCTGGTCTAGTCCCTTGACCTGACAACTTGTGTGCACAATCCAACCCTGAAGCAAAAAAGGGACCAAAAAAAGCCACTTTGCCTCACCAATTCCATAACATCAGTCTGACCAGAGACAAACCTTTGGGGGGGCCTAAACAAGGAATTGAGTTTCACTTTGAAAGTGGGACATATTACACAAGTCAAATTACAAAAAAATGATTATATTCACTGAATCCAAACCTTAGAGGATGACCCTCAAGTTCAGTACAGGTATGTGTGCTTTCGTAACACCTACGTACTAAGAAATCTTTCAAGGGTATACACAACGCACTCTTCCCCTTATTTTTATTGAAAGACTGACCACTTTCTCTTTTGAGCCAGTCAAATTCCCTGACTTTTCCCTGACTGGAAAAAAGGAAACTCATTCTCAAGGTTTTCCTGATATCCAGGAAGATGGGATCTTATATCCCTCAACAAAATCCTCCGCAAACACAGATCAGGAAAAGAAAACTAAATATCCCATTTCAAGTAAATGTTGAATTTGAGTTTAACACAACAAAGGGCATTATTGATTTTTTTGGGGGGGGGGAATGACTTCAGAAGGCCAGGAGTGTTACTGGGACTCAAGTCCTTTGAACCTGTAGCTGGACACACTGTTTTGGTCACAATATTGACGTATTATCCTACCACATCGCACCATCACTCAGTAGTGAGGGGGAATTTTCTAAGTAATACCATAAAAGCATATGTATGACCAGTTCCCAGGAATACACTTTACTCTTAGCTTCCCTGATTCTAGGGTTGGCTGATTTGATCCTCTTGATTAAAATCGCCAATTTAAATTACAATTTAAATCCAATTATTCTTTTTTATTCACTCATTTAAAACAACATTTGAACAAATTTGGAAAGGGGCAAAAATGTGCCATTAAAATGTTTTCAATAAGCCTTTTCCACGTTTCATGTGTGCATGCTCAGAAGATTTACTGATAACACAGGGGAACAAATTCATGACAATGTTGCACAACATTTGGCAAATGGATGCTCGCAAGAGTTATTGTTGTAGACAATTTGTTACCCTCTACAAGCTTTGTTCACTTACTCGCATGGGGGAGCTAATATGAGCATGGCAACAGAAAGAGAAATTGGCTTTCACATTATGGCAAATACACTTCTTCGAGCCCCATAGTTGTAACGATTGGAGTCCACGACCTGACTCGAGTCCAACTCCACTTGCAATATTTGGTGACTCGAGTCCCGATGGGTAAATAAATGACTCGACACAAGTCACTGCAAGTAAATGACTCCCGATCGCATCAGAATACCCCACTCAGAGTTAAACTTATTTAATAACAAGTCCCCAGACTCAAGTTCCATAAAGAAAAAGCAAACCTCTACGCAAAAAAACAAAGTGCCGGTTTATATCAATCATCAGTTTCCACTAAAAAAGACTGGAACAATCTACCCGCTCTGCATTGTAGACAGTTCTTCACTGGATGTATTCAAATCCAAGCTGAAGCAGCACCACTAAAATGCTTTGGTCTAGTCATTCCACATGCAGTGCGCTTCTCAGAGGTTAGCGTGGATGTGCCTTGGAGGGCATTTTGCTGACCAAACCATTCAGATCAGATCAACTGATCATGATAGGCCTAATGACTATGTTCATATCATGAGTTATTATCATTAAAGACAAGTCTCACCAAATGACCATGATCCCTGGGATGGCAGAACAAAACAACAGCTCACAAGTGTGTGCTAGCTGGAGTATAAAGCCATCAATCATGACTAAGTGTACAATGTCAATGCGTAACTTAACGTTAACTTAGACCATACCTGCATACTAGCTGTACACTGCACTACTCACCCCGCACCGGCACACGACATCCGCATCTGTGGACAAGAGATCAACCAGTTTCCCTTTGCCTTCATCCCCCCACTGTCCCCCCAAGATGACTGTAACCTTATTCTGCGGATCAGTCCTCATTTTCTTCAAATTCAAAGACCTGTTGTCCGTGGAATTGTCGACATTTTTCATGTCACGCTCGTGGTTTACGATCACCGGCTCGGCAGCCATACTGAACTCTGACTAATAAGCGCGCGTAACGCAGCGCGGGGTTTTTGATTAGCAGTGCGAATATGCGCATGCGGAGAAGTGAGAAGGATTCTATGAATGGATCATGCTACTGTTTTGCACCGGCGGTACGCGTTCGGTCTGGTTTGCATGTATCATGCAACGTCAGAAGTCACCACTCCCGGCAGGTTTCTCTCGGGCTTACTTGCTTTTCTCATAGACCTGAAGGAGAAAAAGCAGGTCTATACTAAACCTAATTTACGACGCTTGGCCTAACTTGTTTTCCTTTGCTGAGACCTGCTGCTGTTTTGTTAAAGTTCAACTGTTAAATGGGCTTTGCACTTTTTACTCTGCTAGAATATTCCTTTAACTGATGATGAACAGAAATCCGAATAGTAGATAACAAACCTGCCTTCAACACCAACCCTTCCCCAGATAATCCTAAAATGTTTGTTGGTTATTATTTCTTCTGCAAGATCTTTAAGGTGTGCATTGTTGGGTTTGGTTTGGTTAGATTATATGTTCATGTAGTATACGTAGAGCAGCCCCTATCATTGTGCATTTTGATTTTTGTCCGTAGTGGAGGCTTGCTAGAGCAACATTTTTAACCCAACCTTCAAAATAATTGAATTTGTATCAAACTCTCAACATTCCTGTTCATAAATCATAAGTTTACATACCCGTTCCAGTAAAATTATATTTTGCCATTTGTTTAAGCGCACAAAATGTGTCCAATTATAGAAAACAATTTTGTTACAATCTGTTACTTGGGTGTGAATTGATTTAATAATGTTTTAGCAGGGTCTATCAACTTTAACTAAATACTTCAATGTTAATGTTGGAATTCCTCATTTTCCCAGGATTAATCAATGCGCCACGTTTAGGAAACAATCAGCTGAATTTGTGTCCTTATTTCCAGACGCAACCGTCTTGAATTCGGACTAAATTTCATGACACAATTTTTTTTATAAAAAATTATGGTATAAAGTACCGGCTTTTAAGTGAATGAATCTGAAGTGTTTTTAACAGAAACGTTTGGCATCACGGCAGGTGGAAAAGTTGAGAGAAACATCGAAGTGCGCCACGTTAGGGTACCCAACTGTATTAGCTCATTTTCGAATTGCACGTGACAAGTCGGTAAAATGACTGTTATACTCGGTGAGCGACCGGCCGGACACCGGCTGAATGTTGCCCCTATTAGTCAGGAATCAAAAAAGATTGAACAGCCACACTGATAAGACCAAAAGCCTGGTCAGAGGCGTGCAGGTCGACATTCAGGTGACAACATCAACAAAAACTTCAAGCCAATCAAACTACGAACAAATTGACACACCCCTCTACCGCCTGTGTACCAGAAATACCAGGTTTAAAAGAGGGCGCTGTGCCGTGCGTCCGTTAGGGCGGCAGAATGTGCCAGCAACGTGCAAAAAAAGAACGACAAAAGCACTGGAAAAAATGATGAATGAGAAAAAAATGGCAATTTCCGTGAAAATGCCTTGGAGTGATTGAGCCTCCCCCTCCATTCTTGTAACACAGTATTCATGCTATTCATGTTTTCGCCATCTTGGTTTACTTCTCAGATGGTCCCGAGTTTGTTCTGATTCCATGGTTGCATTCTGTATGCAGCTGCGGCACCCCCTTGGCTACGCTACTGGGAACATCCGTGGTTGGTATCGATTTCCCTGGTTACTATTTTAGTCTTTCTAATTTTTTTCATGGTAATTTTCACTCAAGGATTGGCGCCTCTGTCTTTAAGCGCTTTGGAGCATCACAGCGTTAGGGTGTGGAAGAAATGTACAGGAAAAGCTTGTTGTTTTGTTGCATCAAGGAAATCGCTGTAAAAACAAAAGATGCTCTGGGAGTGTGGTCTGCTCCCTTGCCGAAATTAATTGGATTCTTTCCCTTATGCAATACAACAATGTTACTGCAGCCCAACCCACTCCAAAACTACAAAACCTAAAATGGGCTCGATCGGCCCGCTTTGAACGTCTATCAGCTATGCAAAAGAGTGCGATCGCAATAATAATGGTTCGCCATATGCATTATGATTCGGGGGCGCGCGGAATTTAGGTCGGTTCTTGAGGTGTGGAGTTTAAGATAACGGGCGCCCCTACCCGAAAATAGTGTGGAGTCTACACTACACGACAACAGGTTGCAATAACAAATGTCCTTCTGGTCGATCTTGTCTAATAATCTTCTAAATAAAGGGTTAAAATTTTCATTTATTTTCCGCGGAACTTTGTGTGCGCCTCTGGGCACGTTTCGTAAACCGTTAACATAAATTTTGACACAATTTCTTGAGACCCGAGGGCGCTGTTGCATCAAACACTCGCATACACTTTTGGGACTTTTTGTACGACTTTGTCAATACTTCGAGGGCTCAATCAAGCCGAGCGACCGTCGTGCATTCAACAAGAGAGCCAGATATAAAACAACTGTGTGACCCCAGGAAAAATTGAATTAACTGCCAAAAAATTATTAAAACATTAAGAAAAAAGCCCCCAAAACCACACAGAAATGACCATTCAAAAGCTCAAAATCAGCAAGGGTGTTTTCCTTCCACAAAAACCTCCAATTGCACTTGTTATGATGTAATGTCTACACGAGTTCCAATTCGCAGACTTCACTGTGATTACTACACTTTAAAAATCCATAACATGACAAGAGAAAGTTGGAACTGCATGTCTTACTTTAATCTAAGCCAAATGTCTTATTTTCTAAACAGGTAAGATAACGAGAATACATAATTGTGAAGATATACAGTTGGTACATGCATTATCAAAATACAGGTGAATTGATTGATCTTTACACTAAAGCATTTTAAATCGAACAAGACCACAATTAAGCTTCCTGCAACTGAAAACAAAATCACACAAACCAAACAATCCCCTCCCCTAAAAAGGAATACAACTGTTTCATCATTTCATATCTCTCATGACAAGTTTTAATACGGGAATGAATATGTGCTAGACCAGTCTTAAATGTGCATTGAAGTCCGGCTCAGGAGAATGGATACGACTGAAGCCCGAGTCGCAGGCGAGGGCATAATAAGCGTTCAGTCTCCTCTGGCCAAGCACATATTTATTCCCATTCATAAATACCTTTTAATTCAGAGAGTCAAAAGAAGTTAACATGTGATGGATTTCCAACAATTTTGTTCTAAAATTTTACTTTCATTTTCCTGAAAACCCCTGTCCATTTTTATGTACCTTTATTCCTTTGAAAGTTTTCCAACAGACTCCTGGCCAATCAGAATCAATTAAACTGTCTCGTATCCATGTGCCAGCTCATGATTTACGCAGTGGACATTATCACTTCTCGGCGGGCATTATCAAATGTTAATACATGGTCGCATGACGCGCTTCAACCAATAGGAATAGAAAAATAAGTCGGTATTTATGAATCTTTAATAAATAACATTTTTGAGAATTTGCCCATTATCAACAATATAAACACACTTAAATCAATACAATCAATAGCCAACAAACAATATTGACAATCCTTACAGCTCCTTTTGGATTTTTATCTGCTGCGAACCAAAATGATTTTACTAATGGACGGTTTTCAGTATCATTTTTAGACAGCATCACAGTTTTTTGAATGTTGGAACCACAGATGGTGTAGCAACTAGAATCCGTTGTGTGCACAAGGGAATAAATAAACATGCATGTACAGCAAAAGATTCCAATCCCACTTTTACCTTCATCTTTCATTAGAAATGTGACAGCATGTACACACATGCATCTCTCCAGCCTTTTCTCGTTTCACTGATCTGACAAACATTTTGTCAGACATAACCTTTAAAGAGTTTTCAACGGGTGAGACTGGATGAGATCCATAGACCAACCAGCAGATGGGTTCAAACAATGACAATAAAACAGTATCACTTTTCAGGGCTTTGAATGGCTGTGAGGCCAAAGTTTTTTGCCAAATGGTATTGATTAATTGAATATTATATGTGATTTTTTGTAAGAAGTGCTTAAAAGTGGCCAAACCTGAATGATTAAATATCTACAAATTTAGAATTTTTGAGCGAAAAATCCTGAAATCCAGAGAATGGATAAAAAGGGTGTCAACATAATGTATGTCCAATTTAAACATATATACTTATTCCAGCAAATACCGTTCTATTTTTGGAAGCTATTTGGTGCCATAAAATGAAAATACTCTAAAGACACTTCATTCCACATATTACTCAAATCAGAGCGTCCACTCAACGGGGCTTCCTACAAACCTCTCGCAACTAAGAAAATGCACACCTGATGGAGCAATACCGAGGAAGAGATGGAGAAGGCTCACACTGGGGTTCACACAACCTGCAGGCAAGGAGGAGACAAAAGAAAAGAATGATTTTGTTGATAAGGACTGAAGCTATTAATATGAAAAACTTTCTGATGTCTGACAGTCACTGGAATGGAATACTCTGTAATCAGCCAGGGATGGCTCAGAGAGTGAGGACAGACTCAGCATCACAGCTAATTTGTTTTACCTTGTGCAAATTTCTTCCTGTACATTTAGCATGGGGATGCTGGTCCTGGATGGGGGGGGGGAGAAGGGACGGGGGTACTGTTGACCCTTTGTAACTGGTTCCAGACCGTTTGTACAACTTGTGAAGAAAAACTTGGGAAAGGCCCAATCAATGTCAATACAGCTTTCACACATCAACCAAACTAGATTATCCAATGTTTTGAAAAGTTGTCATCAATAATGCCGTGTGGCTTTTTACAAATGTTTTCCCTGCATATTCACGGGTAAAAAAAGGAAATATATTTCAAAAGGCAATAGATCAGGGAAACAAAATGCATAGGAAATGAGGAAACTTTGAGAGGTTCACATCAATTTTATGCCCCCCCCCCAAAAAGCAGCATGTTGCCTCTATGATTAAATCAACACTTATACAATAAATGCTTACCCAATTGTGTGCTGCGTTCGTATGTCAAGGAACACTGTTTTTTAACAAAGCATGAGACAATAGAACTTATTAGTGTCTGACATTTAGTACAGAGTGAGGATTATTTATTTTCCTGATTTCAAAGTAAAGCCGGCGAAAAGAGGGGAACAAAAATCAAATGGCACGTGATCTTCCTGCCACTTGAAGCAGTATAGCTCTGGGCCAGGCCGACTTGCCATTTAGATCAGCCAGGCAAGTAAAAAGGGGGAAATGAATGCAGGTTGACCTTTGGATCATTCCCAACAGTGAGCGTCAATACTGTTTACTCCAAGAACCGGGAGACCTCAGGGGCAGACAGCAATGGTCAGGGTCGGCTAGCCAAGTGAGGATGGACAGAAACGCCTGCTCCAGACTAGAAGTTTGAATCAGATGTGCACATGCCCGTGCACTGGTTTGTCTCTGCAGGCACATTCAGAGAGGTACAGTAACTCTGCTATTGTTTGTGTTGCTTGGTTTAGCTGGCTATGATTTTGGTGTTGTTTGTAGGCAAGCACTGATACCGTATATGCTCTCCAGCATGTAAGTCAGTAACCTTGAAGTGTTTTCAAGGTATTTTCTATGAAAAGGGGATGAGGGGACGATTTGTAGAATGGTAAAATTTGGTATCTTAATATGTAGAATGTGGAGAGAAGGGGGTATTGTCATTAGAAGATGGTAAAGCTCAATGTCAGGGCTAAAAAAATATTTGTATTGCGGCATTTCAGATAACTTCTTTGGACAGCACTTTTCCTAGTGTTTTCTTGGTGGGAACTGGACAGTTCTCCATTATAATGCTGACAGCCTGACACACAAGCAAATGTCCCTGTGTAAAAACTACTAGTGTCGCATTGGCAACAGTGCAGGTTTCCAATTAGAAATCAGTGGTTTTCCAAGTTGTGAAATGTTTTGAGATACTCCGAGTATCGGGTTGAAGGCCAACCGAGGGGTGACAGAATATTGCATGAACAAGTCGAGTGACTTTGGGGGCCTTTAGGGAATAAACGAGTTGGAGTTTACTTCTACCAAATGATGATGGGGGGACAAACCATGAGCGCATGCTTGTAGGGACACACGGCCTTAGTGTTTATGGATTGCCGCTCCTGAGGCATAGGGTCTAGGGTTCGAATCCGGCAGCTGTTCACATGCTATGCCCTTGGGCAAGTCACTTTACCCCCACTTGCCTCTCTCCACCAGGGAGTATAAATGGGGAGCTGATAAGGTACTTTCTGGACGGGCCACCAAAACTGGTGGTACTGTTGACCACAAAGGGCTGAGGTGGTGGTCCCCGCCTATTCAAATACCAGGTGGCACACCTAACCACTAAAATTAGTGAGGTCTCTAAAGGGGGCCTCATTAATTTTAGTAATTTTGTTTTGGGTCTAAGACAGTCCATGGTTTGACTACTGACATTAAAATAGAAATGTTTGACTTTGAGCTGTTCAGCTGATTTGAAAGAGCATATGAATAACATTACCTGTTTGTTTAGTGTACTTGCTATAGAGTACCGAAGTGAATATGTCACGCGCACAATTAGTGTGTAAAAGGCATTAGTGCGAGAACCAGCGCGTGAACCAACACACACGCGTACTCCATTTGTTTGCACTGCACTTTCTGGTTCACAGTGACGTCACACTTCGGTACTCTATTAAAACGGCAAATATAGACCTAACTCTGCTCACCTCCAAAAAAATGATGTTTTGTTTATAGTGTGGGCCCATCTTGCTTAATTAAGGTAACTGTAATGAACAAATACGAGCATTTCTGAATGGAAAGAGTGAAGTGGTGCAAACATTCATTCTGTGCAGGTGGGGGAAGTCAGTGTACATTCTTTTCCCGGTAGACTGGGACCTTGGGGTTTGGTTGGATGCATCAGGGACCATGTCAACTCATGTTTTTTAATACTAAGTTATGTGAATCAGCATCTTATGTAAGACTGGCAAAATACGAAATTTTCTTGACCAGAATTCAACTGAGAAATTGATTCATGCCTTTTTTGCCGTATTCATGCCGTATTTGAACTGAGGAAGTTGCAGATTATTCAAAACTCAGCTGCACGCCTTGTCACTAGGATTAAAAAATCTGAGCATATCACCCCGCTATTGGCTTGGCCTGCACTGGCTTCCAGTAAATAAGCGGTTGGAATTTAAAATAGCACGTCTTGTCTACAAGATTGTAACAGGAATAGCTCCAGGTTGTCAATCCGATTTACTCATTGTTCAATCAACTAAATGCACCCTACGCATGACTATATTTGCAGGAGTCTGCTTGCAACAGGCAATTGGTAAAACTAAATACTATGGTGATTGGTCTTTCACAACGTACGCCCCTTGATTATGGAACAGGCTATCAGTAGCAATTCAATCTGCTGACACTTTGGAAACTTTCAAGACTCACTTGACGACTCATTATTATTTATAACTCATTGTTTATTTATAGTGGGATTATTATTTACCCCATACTTGCTAGTTTTAATCCCTTCATTTCATTTTACAATTGTTTTTATGGTTAGTATTAATTTCTTGATTTTGTTTTATAACTGCTTTTATTATCATTTGTCTTAAATTCTTAAAGTTAATTTAATTTCTGAATTTTTAATGTACAGCGCTTTGTGATGCCATTGACATGGAAAGTGTTTTTTAAAACTAATTATTATTATTATTCCACCATTTACGCTATCTCTCCCCCCCCCCGAAAATCATCCGCTTCTGTTGAAATGTCATTTTACCTCCGGGGAGAGGAGCACCTCCAGTATTCAATATTCTATCCTCTGAAAAAGAAAACTACTTGACTTTCTCTTTTGTAAAACTGGACAGACATTATGGCACAACCTCCGTACACCTGCTTTGTGCTTCTTGAAATGAATACCAGTCTGCTATTCAACTGAGAGAGCGCTCATGTAAAGGGAGATGATATTTGGTTTATCTAAGTCAGAATACTCCCACCACCTTATCCCAGAGTAAACAAAGGAGGACAATCTTAAGTGGGTGGGAGGATATAAGGGGCACATATTGGTGTCTAAGAGAAAAAAAAAACCTGACTCATTTTTGAGCGGTCATTTAAAGCAAGTACTCGTACATGTACAGTCCAGTTACCTGTAGAATTGGAAGCAGTTCTTTCACACTTGATTTTCAAAATGTTTCAATCACGTCCTTGAGGTGCACACATGAAGAAAACTCATGGCCGCAAGTGTCCGATGAAGTTCACTGACAAGTAAGAAAGATTAAAATATAATACTGAATACAGCATCCCAATGGAATGGATTCCCCAAGGGGGAGGGGCTAGCGGTTAGGGTTTGTAGCTTCTGATCATAGGATGGAAGGGTCCGGCTGGTGGCAGCTGGGGACCAGTGAGGGTAGATTTGGTTATGTTAGCCGTGTGCGCCTGATATGGCAGCATCAGCTAGTATATTCCCTAGGGAGTTGAAATGGCTTCAGGAATGTTCAGTTGTTGTGAGCCCAATGGGCAGGGATAATGATAATACAGCGCCTTGAGCATCAGTTGTGATGGATATGTGTGCTCTATAAACATCCACTATTATTATTCTTAACTGGCCCAAAAATGATGATTTAAAATGCATGACTGCACAAAAAATTGAATTTTGATCAAACAAGCTTTACACAATCCAAATATCATAAATCCTAAGAAGGACCATCAGTTTGATTTTTAGCTTTGATCCAAATTCATCATGTCATTTTGTCGAAATCACAAATAAGTTCTGGCAGACTCCGGTTTATAAAAACCAAACATTACCTCATAGCAGGAGGTACATCAAAACTAACTGTTATAACATAACATTTGTATAACTTGACACAACCTTCCATTTGTTATTTATTGAAAATGTATTGATACATCTTTCGATTTATATTTATTACCGTAACAAGGAACTGACTGCAAAAAAACAAAAACCAAAAAGAAATAACAAAAAAAAAAATTACACTCAAAAGTGTAGACTTCCTTGTGTTGAGAAATAATTCATGAGTAGAAAGCAGGGTTACCCTTGGGTATTGATATGTTTGAGGTGATCAAACAAATTTTAAAAGAAATTCTAGCACCTAAAACCAAATTGAGTGTTTCCAAAAAGGCCTGAAATAAATTCTATATAGTAAACTATTATGTATATTTAGCGGTACATGTAAGTTGATCTTGTATTGTGTGTCCCTCTTTACCATTCTGAACGATTTGAAACTGATCCGTTTCAAAATATCTAAATTATGTTGCTTTTACCTTTTATCTTTGTCTATTTCATGTGTGAGGCGGTAAAATTCAACAGACAAGCCTGAGGTGGTCACTAAAGTCAGTGAGGTGGGCTGCCTCACAGTTGAATAGACAGGGGAAACCCAAGCAGAAAGGAACAAAAACTTTGCCTGATGTGCAACCACATGGCAAAGAATACAAAGTAACTTCTAAAAGCTGGATACAAGCAAGGGAATGATAAATGATTAAAATTGCTGGAACTGAATGTGGTCTCCGTAACATGAAGAAGATCGGCAAGTAATGGAGTGATGAGGTCCCTCAACATGTCAAGATCTGGCTCTGGGCACTACATTGTACATCACAAGAACCACCCAACGTTATTCCAAGTGTTCTGCTTGAAGTTCGGCATTATTATCCACAAAAAAAACTCCTTAAGGGGTAGGAAAAACTTAAAACTGGTGGATTCGGGACTTTAAGGGTTTATACATGTGCATGTAATGATAATCTGTAATTCTGGGAAGACATTCTTCATTGTGCATGTTAAAAAAGCATGTCATTCAACTAATTTTGTTTCTCGTTTGTTGTAATATGCTGGTTAAAAGCAACATCCATTCAGGGATCCTGGGGTCCAGACGGTGATCAAACACACGGCAAGCCCCCACAGAAAGACTTTTTCAACCACACAAAACAATTCCGTCAATGACAAAAACCAATGAATGAAACTACTACCAAATGTATTGACAGTTTTTGACAGTGTACGTCAGCAGTGTAAACAATTTTTTTTTATTCACAACTGATGTCACCTAAATAAGTCAGTCATTGTCATTTGTTGAATGTCGCAACCTCTGATATATCTAAACCACTGGATCAAGCATTCAGAATTTGCCATGCCTTTAGAATTGATATGAACTCTGAGTACGTGAACAGCTCTCCCGCAGACGCGGAATTGCGTGTACATGTACATTGTGTTACAATACACAGCGAATGAGGATACATGTATGCGTACCTTCATTGACACAGTCTGGGGCCTTGAGCTTTCTTAGAATTTTAGAAAGGATTGCAGAGACTTCTTCCATTCCTATATGTGTAGCATGGGATTCAAACCTACACTGTACCGCCTGTCCTTCTGCTGGCTAGTCACGTCAAATTCTGCAAAACAGTGAGTATCACAAGGACATCAATGCTGAGTGTAGACATTGCCAATGTTGCGGTTGACAGCTCTTAAATGACTTCGTGGGTGTCAGATCAGCAATTCAAGTCTTATAAATCTGAACTTCTGCACAGTATATTTCACTAAACCCTGACTCCCTGGGGTGGTGAAAAATTATCTTAGGGGTATGAAAATTATATTAGAATTCAAAGATTGGGGGGGTTGGTTGGATTAAAGATTACTGAAGTATTTCAAAAGTAACATGTTGTATCCACAGCCCAAATCAACAGGAGTGCAAACACTGCTGAATCCAATGGAATCTAATAGATGAAACCAAAGGAACTTCTGTTTCTTGCCCAAGCCAAACAAAACTCAACAAATTTTACACTGTTAACAGAATGTTTCCATTAAAAAGATGTCAGTTTATCAGAATTAGAATTTACAGATTTTGTTGTCCAATCTCATTGGAATAGGCATTCCTTGATCAAATGAACTTGTTTAACAAAGCTAGGTTGTTCATGACAAGAGTCAACAAGGCTCCAAGCACATGCCAGAAAGGCTTTGCCAGTACAGCGAATGCACTTATACAAGTTCATGTTTGTGGACATCTGTCTGATGGGTTGCTTCAGAAGAGCTTCAACTGTCTGGGTGAGAGATGAAATGATAATACTGGTTAATGTTTGATCATGAATGCTAAACCAACGTTCAACTTGAAGCAGTCAGTTGGGATAATGTACATCGTACATGTACAACATACCCACAGACTGATTCATTCATAGATCAACAAATTGATTAATTGCTGGAAGGATTAAATTATCGATGTACAAATTGACCGACCAACTAAATGCACAAACAGAAACCAGGCACTTTTTAATTTGAGAAATGGCAACACACTTTCCAATCCCTGAAGTCGCTTAAAAGTTTTGCAAATATCATTTGTTAGCTCAGAAACATTTACCGAAATATTGTTTTAGTCTTAACTCTACATATTTTTAAAAAGTCTGTTATTCTTGTCTCAATCCAAGGAATTTTTTAAAGCGAGCAACAAGGTAACTTTTACTTTCTTTTCGTAATAGAATATTGCACACTGAATCAAAAAGTACCAGTACATTTGTGTCGCAAAAAAAAAAAAGCTTTCAAGGTAATTTTACCTGATTTACCCAAAGCCCCCAAGAAACCCAGTGCACATGAATATACAATGTATGTTCATAGAGGTCATCAATTCTAGGAATGTTGTCCTACCTTCATGTGACTGAATTTCAGGGATGTACATGTACTAACCCAGGCCATTCAGTCAAGCATAGGCTACCCTGCTTTAATATGCCTCAATGCTGAGCGACAATCTGGGTCGCTCCCTAGTGTTTGTGCTCCTGAGTGTAAACCAATCAGATTGTCTGGCCACAGTGAAGCACAGTCTACCACAGGAATGATGAAGTTTAAAAATAGAAATAGGAAAAAAAGGTCCACGACACAAATATTTTACAAAGGATGGGAAGGTATCTCGGAGGCATGCGGAGGGATTTGTACGTGTTGATCTGGGGCTGGTAGGCGTGCGAGGCTTGATTGAATGAGTGTGGCTTATCAGTGTCTTCTTTGGAGGCAGTCTGGCATCTCACGGAAAATTTGTGCATCTTCCAGCGTGCCGGGGGGAGCACGCACATGAACTTGTCTGGCCAGGACTTACAGGTGTATGCGTGACAATGATGTGAAATTCACACCCTATACGAACAGTTCTGGGTTGCCAGTGTTTGCTTGTATGTGTGTGGAAGACAGACGAGAGATGAACTGCAGTTTATGAAACCTGAAGTTGTTTGTAAGCACTGAGAAAAAAAGGTAATACAACTGCAACCATTGGAAGGAAACTGGGGCTCTCCATTTACGTAACGGTAAGATTTTTGTACTTTTCCAGTTGTAGGATTGTCTGGCATGAAAACAATCGAAGTTTGACTATTTGTTTCTGTCATCCCTAACAGCCCCACTTTGCTGAAAAGTTACTGAACTGTTTTTCTTCAAGCAATGGGACATTTTTCTGTTTTGACATTCTAAAATTTGGATGCCAAATTTGTCCGCACAAAGAAATTTCAGCTTGCAATACCGGGTACATTAGGTCTTTAAGAATGAAGTTACATGTACATGTAGTTACCAGTACAAGTAGTACATATGAATACTGGAACTATGCATAAGCAGCACAGAATTGTACTTGTGTCAAATAAAAAATCAACTACCAACATCACTAGCCCTACTGAAAACAAACACATGCAAGAGGAAAACTACAAGCTATTTTACAAATCAACTAAAGAACCTTAATAAAAATGCATAACTGTACAGTTAGTTCTCAGATATCCCTCTTGGCAAAACAAAAAACTTGTATAAATCAAATAAACACCACAATAAAAAGGGCATGAATTGTACATTTAATTTTCAAATGTACATGTCTCTGGGCACATACATGTACATGTAATGAGTACAATGTATTCATTCAGCACCAGGGTACAAAGTACAGGTCTTGAATAGAACCCTAAAAATGCACACGAATGCTGTATTCACAACTTGCACATACACTCTACTGTATGAACACCTATGACAGTTTGATTTCCTGTACACAAACACACATGTACAGGTGCAAAGAAGAAAATGAAAAAAAAGAAGGAATGCACCCATGTACATGTGCAAAGAAGAAAAGGAATGCACACATGTACA